TGCGCCGCCGCTTCGGCCGCGTCTTAAAGGGGACGCGACGGGTGCGCACGCGTGCGCACGCGGGAGGGCTGCACGCGGGCGTGCACACACAGGTGTGCATGGGTGCATATACGTGCACACGCAGGGAGGGCCGTACGCACACGCGTGCACAGGGAGGGTTGCACACGCATGCGCAGGCATGCACGGGTGCACACACAGGGAGGGCTACACACGCGTGCACAGACGTGCACGGGTGCACACACAGGAGGGTTGCACACATGCGTGCGCAGACGTGCATGGGTGCACACGCATGCACAGAGAGGGTTGCACACATGCGTTCATGGGTGCACACGCACACGCAGGGAGGGCTGCACGGGCGTGCACGGGCGTGCACAGGCGCACATGCATGCACGCACAGATGTGCATTGGTGCACATGCACACGGAGGGCTGCACGCATGTGCAGGCATGCATGGGTGCACACGCACACGCAGGGAGGGCTGCACACGCGTGCACAGACGTGCACGGGTGCACATGCACAGGGAGGGTTGCACACATGCGTTCATGGGGGCACATGCACGCACAGGGAGGGCTGCACACATGCATGCACAGGCATGCGCAGGTGCACACGTGCATGGGTGCACAGATGCATGCACAGGGAGGGTTGCACACGTGCGTGTATGGGTGCACACACATATGAGTGCATGGGTGCACATGCGTGCGTGTGCAGGGAGGGTTGCCCACGTGGGGAGGGGCACAGGCGTGCATGCACACACACGGAGGTACGTGTATGCACACATGTGGAGGGGTACACATGCACAGGGGGTGGATGTGTGCATGCACAGGCGTGGAGGTGCACATACATGCAGGCAGACACATGCAGCTAAGCACAAATGCATGTACATGCACGTGCCATGGACGCATGAACATGGGGATAGGCGTGCAAGCATGGTCAGCTTTATGTAGATGAATGCCTGTGTGCATGTGGAGGTGTGCACGCATGCACACAGCTGGAGGGTGTGCAGCAGCACGCACACACGGGTAGAACGTGCTTGTACACGGGGCTAGGCATGCACAGGGAGGTGCAGGAACGTGAATGCACGCGTGTGGAAGTATGCATACATGCATGTGTGCATGCAGAGGGGTACACGCGTGTATGTGTGACTGGGTGCAGACACGCATACCCACGCGTGGAGCTATGCCTACGTGCAGGTGTGCTTGCGGAGCTGCATGTGTGATCACGCGGTTGGCCATGTGACCCTTGGAGGCATGCATACACTCACATTAACGCATAACATCGTGCATACACGTGCAGAAATACATGAGGACACATGGATGTATGCATAAATGCACGTGCATAGACACAGAGGTACAGACACACGCGAAAGCACATCTGGATATGGACACGTGAGGAGATAGACATGCACACGCGTGGAGATACGCCTACACACGTGGAAGAATACATATGTGCATGCCACAAACACGCATGCAAACACACCGGAGGCGACGGCTCATGGCCGTGGGGTGCAGACCTCGCAGGCAGTCCCGTCCCCCGCTTTCCCATCCCCACCCCGGCCTGGCTGGTACCGCGGGCGCTCCCCGATGCCAAGGGGAGCAAGGGCCAGCGGCCGGAACGCGGTTGCGGGTCGCTGCCAGCCCACTCAGCGCCCCGTCCCTCCCCATCGGGCAAAGCATCCCTTGCCAGGGCGCTCAGCAGCCTGGGCCTCTCCCTCCCCAGTGGCTGTTGCCCCCGCTGGGTGCCTGCCCGTGGGGCTGTAGCCAAGCCTGCTCTCCTGGTCCTCCACCCCGAAGCCCACTGCTCCCCCTTGCTCAGCACCTCTGTGGCCCAGCTGACCCAGGCCCTGGCTCAGCACCCTTTGCAGCAGCTCTTTGGCACCCTCGAGGCACCGAGCGCCATGCCCCTTGCCCCTGCTGCCGCAGCAAGCCCTGGGCCCCTCGCCCTTCCCAGTTCTCCAGCCCGGGGCCAAATTCAGCCCCGGTGGTGCAGGGGGGATGGCCCAGAGATGCCAAATGCCCGGGGGCTGCTTGCTGGGAACACTGGGAGGGGGCTTACTGGGGACATTGGGAGAGGCCTTGCTGGGGGCTCTGGGAGGGGGCTTGCTGCGGGCACTAGGAGAG